ATTTTGTTCAGTCTATTTCTTTTATTTCATTTTATCAAGCGATTTAAAATATAATATTATAAGGGATTATTTGTATAACGACGCAGCAGGTAGGCTATTAATAGAACGAAGGGAGGGGAACATCGAAACTAGGTCAAGTGGCTCTCCGCTCGACGACTAGAGGGAGAAGGGTACGAGAAGCGACAGAAGACGTTTTGTTGGGGCGCGTACTGACCAAAGACGTTTGGGTTGATTATTGATTTTTCGTTGTGTGGTTGACGGCCATTTTCTCAATAATCTTTTGGTTTGAGACGTAAACAAAAGTGTGTGACAAAGCTGAGACGCAGCTACCCAAATAAGGCGTTATTTGGTGTGTATAGAAGCTAAGTAGTTGCTGTGACGTTTTGATTTGTTTCACCTACCCGAAATTGTGACATAACCTTCATTTTCAACCATCACTACCTATTAAATTTAATTCCATAAAAGTACCCTGGGCCTTTCATTTATACCTTTGGACTTAACGAAGAAAAAAACCTACAATATACAGATGCTTTGGAGCCCGGCGAGAGTGAGAGAGAGATAACCAAAAACAGGTGTAGGAGAGAATTTTGCTCGTTCGAGGATACTTGCAACAATTAGGGCGTTAATTACATGACTTGTAATCAATAATATAGACCATCTCAGGCCTTGAGACACTGGAAGTAGTATTTTACTATAAATCGCATGCACTAACGGGGTTTTTTGGGGGGTTTTGCCTCTGTAGAGCATTCAGAGGGCGCGAGGGTGCGAACTCTTCGCTTATTCTAAGAGTACTGACTAATGCGCGTTGACTAGCTCTGCCGGAGCAGGTCGCAAAAATCTAGAAAACAGTGTGGCGGCTGACCAATCACAGCAGCGAAATAGCTCCACTGCCTCATAAGGTAATGAAGAAACCTGTAATTTTACCGGTTCAAAGGGTTGTTGTTGCCGGTTTTACAGGCATCTATTTTTAGAATATTATTTTTATGGTAAATAATAGAAATTGAGATTATATTAAATTAGAAATAATAAAAGTTTAAACTTGTTGTGGGTTATTTCCGCAACATATTCCCCCCCTTGAAGTTTCCAAACTTCAATGAGAGACGAAACATTAACAAAAAAAAACAACATATTTACAATAGAGTAAGTAGCAGGTTTTTAATCTTGAATTGGTAAAGAACATACCTTTGCTATTCCCCGAGTAAAAACACCACTTTGTGTTTTCAATTTTACCGCTCTGGTTTTATTGTCTCGTCCAGGGAATACCTCTAAGACTCTGGCTAAAGGTCATCTTAGAGGTGGGTTGTCATCTTCCTTTAAAAGTACTAATGTATTGGGGGTTAGATCTAGGGAATTCCGGAACCATTTAGGTCGATTTTGGAGTCTGTTCAAATCGTCCACTGACCATCACTTCCAAAACACTTGTTGGATGTGTGAAATTTTCTGCCACATAGAAAGGCGGTTCTCATTAAGATGACTTAAATCCTTAAAGTCATTACATCCACTTAAGATGTCATCCATGTAACATTGTTTCAATAGAGAATGAGATGCGAGGGGATAATCTCAGCTATTTTTTAATGCAACATCGTTTAAGACTCTAGTTGCAAGGAATCGAGCACTGTTAGTGTGATTAGTTAGTGTCATACGTGACAATTGTCAATTCGATGCACTGAAGTGGTTTTTCAGGCTCGTCTCTCCATAAAATATTTAATAAGAAGGTCTGAGTAGGATTTATCTTTATTTGTCTGAACATCTTCTCGATATCAGAGGTGAGAGCATATTTGAAAGATCTGAAGCTTAACAGTATGTCATAAAGGTCAGTCTGGACAGTCTGGACCTGAAAGCCTTTGAGAGTGATGACGTTTAGGGAAAGGCCGGTTGTGGTTTTGCAAGAGGCGTCAAAGACCACACGCAGCTCCGTTGAGCACGCACCTTCTTTAACCACAGCGTGATGAGGGAGGAAATATTTGAGTTCCAGATTTTCATTAGCAGAGGAAAGAGGTACGAACCTGGCATGTCCAAGGTTAACATATTCGTAAATAATATTCTGATATTCATGAAAATAATCTGGGTCCTTTACAAACTTCCTCTCGAGATTGTGAAATCTTTTTGTGGCTAAAGACAAAGAATCACCGAGTTTGAGATTTTCAGAGGAAGATTTCAAGGGTAAGTTAACTTGATAAGAGCCATTTTCTAATATTTGGGTTGTTTCCTTGAAACAAGCTTCAGCCTTTGCATCTTCAAGGGAGAGAGGGGTTAGTCACCATATTTTCGAGAGAGCTATTGTCCGGGCTTTGAACAAACATAGAGACAGAGGGATGCACTTGTTGTGCAGGGCTACTAGTGACTAAATGAGGGCAGTTATTATGGTGTGAATTTTGGGGAAACGTTCCTCCAAGAATCCAACCGAGATGAGTGTTTAAGACTGTGGGCAGGCCATGACCTAGATGAATCATGCCTTTTGTCAGGAGATTATAATAGAGGTCTGAACCAATCAGAAGGTCAACTTCCGAAGGACGGGTGTAACTAGGATCAGCAAGAACAATGTCGCTCGGTATATTCCACGAACTGACATCTATTAGTATTAGTATAGAGGGGAGAGGTCCTGTTATTACAGGGAGAATGGCACAGGAAATCTCAAATTTCCTATGGGGATACAAATTTGAGTATATTTTTAAATCAATCATCTTATTAGTAACATTGTTACTAAGAGCTATGCCAGATACATAATATGTTGTTTTGACATAGGGGACTAGTTTTAACCTCTTTAACTAATTTGTCAGTTACAAAAGAGTGTTGCGAGCCATTATCTAAAATGGCTTTGGCTTGAAGGGGCCGCATGTCTGCGTCATAAAGTATTACGCATGCGGTTGCTAAAAGAGCTTGTGAGTTTTTTGTCGAGAGTTCTTGAGACCGAGTGGAGACTTTGCGAAGATTTGGGAAGTTCATTTTAGTTAGGTTGTGAGTCAGCTTGGTTTTGTGGTTGTGGTCTTGAACCTTGCGTCTGTGTCCTGGGAGGATGCTGAGATGGTTGCTGCTGACCCTGAGAATAATTTGGTCTAGCAAGCGAAGAGTTATTGTGATAGGGTCTTTGTTGTGGTCTGTGACCTTGAGTTGAAGGATTTTGAGGGACAAAAGCATTGTGGAGCAATGTATGATGCCTTTGAGAGCAAATAAAACAACCTTTAGTTGCTGGGCAATTGGCAAGAGTGTGTTTGGAACCAAGACAATTAAAGCAGAGTTGTTTTGAATAAACAAAAGTTTTCCTTTCCGAGTCCTGTAAACCTTTAAACTTATTACAAATATTTCGTGAGAATCTTAATCGCAATATAAGCAGTGTGTAGTGACCTTACTTATATTATTTTGAGTGAACAGAGAAGCGCCAGAGTTTGGGATTTTGTTTACTTTTCGTTGCCCTTTTTGTGCTGAAGGCACTTCCGTACTTGAGAGATTTTCCAAAACTAAGCATCTTTTTTCAAGAAATTCAAAAAAATCGTCAAGTTGAGGCAGTTGATTTAAATCGCGCCCGTTTTCGAACGCCTTGCGCGTGCCAAAATCAAGCTTTTTTCCCATTAAATACATTATCAAAAATTCCCAAAGCTGTTCGTATGAACAGGGCTAATTCTTTAAAGAGAGTAAATTTTTTCTACAATTTGTAACAAACTCTCTCAGAGATTGAGCGTTACATTTACTGAGTGTATTTTGTTCTAAGAGAGCAACAAAATGTGCGTTTATCACAGAGATTTTGTTTTCATATCGTTTTTGCAATATTTCCAGAGCGATATCAAAATTATCGTTTGTCACAGCCAAATTTTCAATCAATTTCAATGGTTCGTTTCTCAAAAATGACTTCAAATAAATAAATTTTTGTATTTTACTCAGGTGAGTCCACTCAGCGGTGTCACCTTTAAAGGGGTTTATATTTATTTGAGGGAGTTTCACTTCCATATGTGGTGGCAAACTCAGCTGTGGCAAACTAGTTTGGCTTATTGGTGGAGCATTAAAGGTTGCCGGGGACAATGTTTTAATACATTTTTGTATCAGAGAGAGAGTATCATAGAATTGTTTTTCAACAATATCTCTGTTTTCATTATCATCTGCAGTGAATGCTTCAAGATAAGTCTCAATTTCATCTTGAGCCATTGAATATTTCTCAAAGTTAGATTTTAAGTTAACTATACGATTTTCAAATTGAGTTGGATCTATTACAACATCCTTATTGTTTTTTACCACCTTCATAGCATCAAAATCCATATTGAGAAATAGCTTTTAAATAACCACCAATATTAATTAATTAAGTTGAAATGAATTAAGAGAGCCAAACAAGCAAATTAATAAAATATACCTATACAAATCAATACACAATGTAGGCACCTATTTACAATATAGAACATTTACAATAGAGAATGTACTTACCAAGTACGAGCAATACAGGGATTCGAGTAGGCAAAAACTATTCGCTTATTCTAAGAGTACTGACTAATGCAGATTGCAAAAATCTAGAAAACAATGTGGCGGCTGACCAATCACAGCAGCGAAATAGCTCCACTGCCTCATAAGGTAATGAAGAAACCTGTAATTTTACCGGTTCAAAGAGTTGTTGTTGCCGGTTTTACAGGCATCTATTTTTAGAATATTATTTTTATGGTAAATAATAGAAATTGAGATTATATTAAATTAGAAATAATAAAAGTTTAAACTTGTGGGTTATTTCCGCAACAGAAAAGTATTATTATTTCTAAATTGTCAATTTCAATGCTCAACAGACACAAATTAATGTAGGAAATTTGAATGTAACTAAATATTTAATTCAAATTGGTAGCTACAATTAACCCATCAACAAAAACTAATGATGCTTACGCAGATTTATAATTACTAATTACGATTTTCTACATTTAGGTACCTCTAATATGATTTAAATTTCTCATCAGTATAAAATAAAACCAAAAAGTTAAATAAGTAATAATCTATTTTTTTATTTATGTGTAAATTATCTATCATCTATTTCAATTAAAATTATTATTTTTTATTTTTTAAATTGGAAAAAGTTCATCATAATTAAAGTCTTTCACAATATTGTTACAAATTGGAAGCAAGATATCTACCATAACCTTTTCCGTGATGGGCGCCAGCAACTTCCTTAATTCTGCATTGTTGTTGTGAACAATCTCCGTAATTGCTTGATCTAAAACAGTTATCAACATAAAAATAATCATATTTTACAACAGCAAAAATTTGGGTAGATCTGATAAACATTAAACATGCAACTGTTTGCTAGAACAAAAATTGTAATAATTCTCACCAAGAATAGGATTTTCAGGAAACTTGCTTTCCAACTTCATATCAAGATTATCTGTTTTCAATTTGAGCGCCATTGACTTGAAAGTTAGTCGATTATTTTGTCCCAGACTACCCTGGAGTATTGCTTGACCATGTATATGAGCTAAAAAATGCAACTTTAGTTTGTTTAAATTTTTCGATATTTTTTACTCACTAGATTTGGAATAATATTTGCCGGCAGATTTAATTGCAAGTCCAAATACATTTAAGTCGAAATTGTGCATTCCTTCTAGTTCTAAAGATGGGATTTCCACTCCTATCCTGTAAATGTTCTTGTTGTTATCTACCCTAAAAATGAAAAACAAGCGTTAGCACTGAGAGCGTTTTCTATGATAAATGCGGCACATATTGCATCTTTATCTTTGGTTTAGAAATAGTACTTTTTAAATTTTTACCTTATCTTTGTAACCTGAAACATTCCAGCTCCTTTAGCCTCAACATCAGTCAAATAGCCACGAGAACCAGACGGATCTTTTCCATCAAATATCACAATTTTATTGATCTTGAAAGGCTCCAGTGCTTGGATGCCTAATTCTGGTATGCCAATAATGAGGCGCGGTCGTAAATACTCTATGGATTTGTTGACGCATTGAAATAAATGTTGATCGCTTCTATGACATGGATGGATGAATTCAGCTGAAGTAAGAAATAGTTTGGATGTAAATTTAGTCAGAGGCAATGCTTTTAGTAATATTTCGGCACATTGTGCTTGATCAATTGAGTAATTGAATCAAAATCAAATATTATTTTCAGAATCAAAATTTCACTTACGAATTTTTTTCCCAATGACACACACTCCCCATGATGCAACTAAAATGAAAATCGAAGTAATCCAGTTGCTCTTCATCATGGCACAGGCTGAATTTGAAATAATATTTTGCAATGACCGAAAATTTTGTTTTATACTAGAACTAACAAAACTAGTTTAAGATTGTTTACAGAATTAAAACACAATAAAAAAAAGGTTGCAAGTTCTTTTGTTAAACATCAATAAATATGTAAATTCGAAAAAGTGCAAAAAAAAACCTAGTTAATTTTTAAACCACTCAATCATGATTAGTAGACACCATACCAGACGTAATAGTTGAATTCTTCTTTTTTTTGTTGAACTATTTGAATAAACAATCATTGAATTTGTTAACAGTGGTCAGGACTAGCAAGGTCAAAATTGTGTTTTGGAAATTTCAAATAAAATTTTACTATTCTTTAGTCGCCCAAGACGGTTCAGGTAAGTGTATTACCTAATAGATATTTTTACTCAGGTGATGTATAGGTAAATTTTTTTAACCCAGTTTGGTGCATCTTCGAAAAATAACCTAGTATAGGCTCGGTTTATGAGAGGAAGTGCAATTGTTGATGGTTACTGCAGTGGATATTGATGCACAAAATTAAATAATTTTTATTTGAGACTATAATATAACAATCACGACTAAAATATAGCACTACTACATCACTTTGAATAACGTTAATTGATATACATTTCAAAACTTACCACCCCTATTATCTCGGAGTTGGAAAATTTTCGAAAAAATTCCTAAAACAAGTCAACTATAATTTGAGGAAGGATGAGTTTTTATGCAAAATTCACCTTTCCTCTTTCAACCCCCCACTCCCAGAGCCACCCCTTAGCAAATCTTAAATGGGAAGCGGGGTCAAGTGATACATCATTTTGGAGGGTTTTCAATTTCATACATTTTGGTACTAAATTTCAATCACTCTCACCTCAACTTTTTTGCAAAATTGACAGGCTGTAAAACCTAAACGGTTAATTTTCGAGGAAAACAGATCTTACACTCTTGTTATAGATTTTACATAAACTATGATTTGACACCAACTTTGAAGTTAACCGGAGGTGAATTTAACCGGAGGATGAATTTTTAACCGGAATTTCTGTTCATGGATTAAATAATTCAAAGTTGCTTGCAATTTTCAACTGTCAATATTTCCTAAACAGTTGAACTTAGGGATTAAAATTTAGTACCAAAATGTTTTGAACCCTCCAAAAAGATGTATCACTTGACCCCCTTTCCCATTTAAGACCCCTCTGACGGCTGGGGTGTTCAAAGGGGGGAGGTGAATTTTGCATAAAAACTCGTCCCCCTTCAAATTATAGTTGACGTGTTTCAGGGATTTTTTCGAAAATTTTCAACTTTGAGATAATAGGGGTGGTAAGTTTTAAAATGAACACCCTGTATTTAGTTTTGCGAACAATTAGCAAGCCTAACTGGTCGCCAAACTATATATCGCTATAACTGATCGCCTTAATGTCCGATTCAAAAACTCTGCTTCACTTCATCATCGTCGCATGCTGCTCATAAACCATTTCAAATCTTCGGAATTGTCCAAAGAATCTGGTACTAGAAATCTCTGTTAGCGCCGATCGATAATTCGCTCGGATAGAATATTCCTTCAAGGCCATACTTCAATTTCCAATTTCGTGGATCTCAGGAACAGTACTTCTCCTTTCCCTAGAGTTGTTCACAGCAAACAGCTACACCTAGATGCATCCAAGTCGGTATATTCTTGCTCCTTTATGAGGCCATCCGCTCTACATTAATGACCTTTGGTTTTATTTGGCTTCCGGAGAAAGTTGCGTCCTATACACCAAGTCATTCTTAAGGTTCCTGTTTAGCTTTTTCCATGGTCGTGATAATTTCGAGTTCCCTTCTTTTGCGATGGTTGATAAAGCCATAGACGGCTCCGCCTTCTCTAAACGTCTGAAACTGGAAGGCCATGAAAGGAGGTAGGTATCTGTCTTTCATCGTAACACAATTTAAGGTCTGTTCTCACAAGAGTCTCTGACAGTTTGCAAACTATCAGAAAGCATCGCCCGATACATGTTTTCACTTTTCAATGCCGTCGTTAAACGGTAACTTGGCTGAGCGATTGTTTCTGACAAGTTACAATACTGTCAGAGACTCTTACGAGAACAGACCGTTTGTCGTCTATATTCCACACAGAACTTCGTGGAACTATCCATACATCCCATAAATTATTTCTTTTTTTTACAGAGGCATACCTCTTACTTTATTGATGAAAAACTGGAGATTTATTTGTTCAAATAAATAGGTCTTCAGGCGCTTGTGGATATGCCAGCCGGACCATTCTCTCGATGTCACTACTAAACTCCTGCAGCGCCTCCGACCTGCTTTGGATTCTGCTTTACGGCTGGCTGTGATAGCATTGGTGAAGCAACATCAGCTCTAAGGAGCTTACAATAGCTGCATAATATTTAATCACTTTGATATATCTTAGAAATATACTGGTGGATTTCGAGGCAACACCTACCAATGATGTTGCTTTTTGCTGTTCATCTTTTGAAGTTGCCCTAGCAGCGGCCCCAAACTCTCATTTATGTTTCGCCGGCAACTGTCGTTGATGGACTTAGTTACCCGCGTGCGACAGGGCTCACCGACACATTTTGCTGACGCTTTCCATGCTAGGTTCGAATTTCTTCTTTGGTCGAATGTTCTGGCAATTCACTGAGGGGTTCACTTCTAGTGAATACGGGCCTAGTGAATCCGAGTTACCCGAGCTGAAGTACTATTTCCTTCACCATGTCTTGAGAGTACCTCCTCTTCTTCTCCTTCTACTGCCTATCCTCATAAGGCCTGTGTGGAACAAATCCACTCTCTCCCCAACATTAAATCACCAGTTATGACGTAAGCAGCATGTTATTTCTCGCCTTGACGTAGGTTGTTTAAACAGCTGATGACTTAGTTATGGCGTCGTAAATGGTAACACACGAGGTCAATGAGCAATACTGTAGGTGTGTATCATCCTTAAGTTCGAACACCCTCTACCAGGTACAACATGAAGCTAGCTGCTGGACCCTCATAGTTACGTCACCACCACAGCATCCTGTTATAAGACACATCAAACTTGACACATGTACTCTAAATGGCGCCACGGACGTGACCCAGGTCGCTATGACGTCATCACAGAACCCGAACCATGAATCGAACTTTGCACTATGTACTCTAAATGACTCCACGGACGTGACCCAGGTCGCTATGACGTCATCACGGAACCCGAACTATGAATCAAACTTTGCACTATGTACTCTAAATGACTCCACGGACGTGACCCAGGTCGCTATGACGTCATCACGGAACCCGAACTATGAATCAAACTTTGCACTATGTACTCTAAATGACTCCACGGACGTAACCCAGGTCGCTATGACGTCATCACAGAACCCGAAACGACTCAAAACTCCCGCTATGACGTCATGACGTTTGACAGATGACGTTTGACAGGTGACGTTTGACAGGTGACGTTTGACAGATGACGTTTGACAATATGGCGGGAAAACATTTCCCCCTCCCCTTTTTCTGTTACCCATGATAAAATCCGGGGGCCCCCTTTTTGGGGGGCGGAGCCCTGCGGGCCCCCAACTACAGCATCCTGTATTACGAACTTCACACTATGTACGCTAGATGGCGCCAAATACGAATTTCACACTATGTACGCTAGATGGCGCCATGACGTTTGACAAGATGGCGCCGACGACGCATCCACCTTCGTGTCAACGACGGCGCATCCACCACGTGTCAAGAATGAAAGATTGAGGTTATGGTCGGATTTTTATAGTCATACCCCTGTTGCTGTACTACTCTGGCCTGCGCCCTCCTTTCCCAATAATTGTGTTTTTCCCTATTTATTTTTACCAAAATGTCAGCCCTTCCTGTTAACAGCAATATTTTGAATTGGAAGAACTATGAGCTGCAGTAGAAGGTACAGAAGCGGAAATAGATGATAAAAAGTGACAAAAGCACGGTCATAGAGTGATTTTTTTCCGAATGATATTAAAAGCGGATTTTTAATGACACTTGACAGGCTCAAAAGGTGTGCGTGAGCAGCAAAAGTGGAATTTTTCTGCCAGGGCAGAAAAAAATCGTTGCTATACAACATTCCAGGTAGGTACCTAGTAGTTTAATTTGTATTATGCTGCATTTACATTCATTTCGAAGTCCAATTTGTCTTGAAATTGACGTGCTTTTCATATGGCTACGGTACATATCCATTTACATTGAAATAAATTTGAAGTTCACTTTGAAGTGCAATTCAAATTTAAATTGAAGTTGAAAGTGAATAGACCTTTTCGGAAATGCTGATCCGATTAATCGGATCACCAGCTGATGTACAGGGTATTGGATTATATTTGGCACCATACCTACAGCCTTTAGTGCGCGTTCACATTGACACCGCTCGAGCGGTGAGCGTTGCGCGATGCCGCTGTAGTGATGGCCAAAAATAATTTTAACATTATATTTCAAATGAACATGTTAACACCGCGCGACACGCCGCCTCAGTGTGAACTTGTCCATTTGAAATATAATGTTAATGTGAACGCGCACTTACTATTTAAAAAAAAAAATTAAATACAAAACTTGACAGTTTTTTTCTATATTTTCTTTTGACAGTATCAAAAAAAAAAACAAAATCGCATCGGAAAATGGAGAAACGTAGGCAACTTCAACTTTTTTCAATGGAACACCCTGTATATTATGCGATAAAATTAAAGATCTTTTCTTCTTGATTCCAAATATATATATATTGAGCACATTTGAGTGAGCCGTTTTTGAAATACTTTAGCTTAAATTTGCAAAAAAATTTCATAAGGATGTCACGACATTTAAATCTTCATAAAATTCCTTTGGATTTTATTTAAGAGGCCAACAACAAGCCGTTAAAAATTGAGAAAAAGGGTTAATTTCCTGAGACGAGAACTCACTTATTTTGTAATATTTTTTGACCGGATTAGAAAATAATAAAAGATAAAAATCTAAAGAATAATGCTGTTGTTTTAGTTTTTCGAAAAAAAAATTGCAAATTGAAAATATCACGACCTAAATACTCGAAAAAAAGCATCATTTCTATCGCTCGGTACATCCAAACCCATCGCTTT